AATGTGCTTGTACGGGCGGTCAATAAGATACGGTGTTAATTAATGTTACGACGGGCAATCGGCACTCGACCAATGGTGGTTGACGATGAAATTATACTATCGGACAGAATATGAATGCATAAGCAGCCATGTACGGTGCGCCACGACTCGCGTCGTCTCCGTCCGATTCTCTTTACTTCCGGACTTCCTGTCTCGCTTACTCCGATTTATCGTATTCACCTTTGCCCGTTCACTCGTAAAATGCAAATCCGAGTAACGGTCGTATGTGGGGTTTAAGCCGGATCGTTGAATGGATCATAAAACGCAGCTAAAGACCAGCAACGGCACCACGCCATGACAATTATGTCAAAGAGCTCATGCTTCGAGTAATATATTATTGTTTCTACCCCCATCGCGCTCCGGAGGTGATTCCCGTTTAACGGCCGTGTGTAAGAAACCCTAATGTCGGCCTACATCCGCTCTTCACTCCTTTGAATGGCGAAAGCTCTCTCACGAGCGGGACACCGTTTCTTCGCCGATTATTAAAGCCGTCAACGTATTGCGTAGGAAATCATTAAGCTTTGAGTAAACCCGAAGTTATTTGACATGACTGCATGTTGTAAGAATTGATAAGAATTTATCGTTCAAAGCTATTCGTAACTTCTAAAATTAGGAATTTATTTTAGAATCGCGATAAGTCAACTCTATGATATATATTTATCGTAATGTTTGTCAGATACTGGTTAAATATATTTGCGATAAATCTTTAATTTTTCGCGCCCGAAAAATGCTTTATGCTGCCACAAGAAAAAATATTATTAAACAAGTGCTGTAACTCTTTTTTATATTATTATTTATAAATAATGACTCTTTATAATTATTTTTTACTGTTTTATAATAATTAACTATTTTTTAACTGTTTTATTACTTAAATTTTATTTGTAACAAATGTTTTTATTATTTTTTGATTATTTCCATCAGTCATTCGATTTGCATGTATGTTAAATATAAGCTAATGTACACACATTCTCAATGCGTGAAATATTTTATTTTGCCACTTTTATGCAACGTTTCATATTGACAAATTCTTCGCAAGTCTGGTTTCTTGCGTTTTTTAAGTGGAAGGAGGAAAGTTAGGCGAGAGTGTTTCAAACTACCAATTTAAATGCCGATCCGATGAGCCGGCCAATACGCCTCGCAGAGTGCAAGGTTATTAAGGCATAGTCTGGTCGGCGAGTTTAGGTAGATTGGCCCATGGGGGCCAGTGCATTCGAGAGCTCGTTACCCATCGGCGGCAGCCGAAGCTTGACGTCGGATTACTCAATGATTTCTTCTGCTAATGGAAACACGACCTGCTCTCATTACAGAAGTGACTTCGCACCTCGATTGTGGAGAACAAACTCTGCTGCTTACCTGTTTGTGCGGAATGAGAGAAAGGGATATCGCGTGTCCCAGAAGAGATACTACATTTTACCAGTACAAATCTTTGCTGAGAAGTATCAAAAGAGATCAAAAAAATCTTTTCTTGATATGACAAGACATCGTAGTATTAAATTATAATATTAAAAAATGTATATGACACAATTAAAGCTAAATATAAAGATGAAATTATATAATACGCGCGCTACAAGATATTTTGTATTATTACTCATTGCAACTAATATTATTAATTATTTCACTTATCTTATGTACACATATTTTTATACATTTTTAACATTTTACTAATAATTGGCATAATAATACATTTTTGACAGTTATCTTCTTTATTTAAAAAAATCTTGACCTAATATAATTATCTACATACAATAAAATTTATAAAGCCTCCATCAAGAAAATCTTTGTCTTGCCTAATTGGCACTTTTCATTTCGGTAAAAGTCACTTTCGTGCATTTTTATATTTAATTCTGTCTTAAGTGTTCTTGGAATGCGACGTCAACTATTTCTGATCCAATAAATTCTCTGCGGTGTTTTTGGGTTAATGTCGATTTTGGCATTTCTGTTTCGGCGAAAGGGGAGCACTAACCCGACCATCAGCAAGGACGAGTGCTCGAGGCGCCGCCGAAGAAAAACAATAAAACGAGAATTGGCACGTCTGGCGAAACAGTTGACTGCCGTCAATTCAACTGGCCGACTTGCCAGGACGTGCATCTGACTATTCGCGCGCATTAAGTATATGCGCGAATTATCGTCATATATCTCCGAACAACGTGGCTCGGACTATGTCACTGACATACCGTGCTGCCGAAAATGCTTAAAGTAAAAATAAATATATACGAGCAATTTTTTTACATATAACATCTTTAATTAAGAAATTTGAAACTTTATTACATTATTTTAAATCGACTCGTGTAGATTTATTTATGCTTGTTTCCGCAAGAAAGGATATTTCAAACATATATTTAAAATCTTTTAAAATACTTAAATTAATCTTTTGATTATCAAACGTTTGCACTTTCCTCAAATTTTTTTTCATGTTAGAATGCACAACTTTTCAAAAAGAGTCAAATACATGATAACTTTAATAAATAAGCTTCACGCTTATTCATTACGGAAGCGCCGTAAGGAGCTTTATAGTGAATTTATTGTTTGATTGCCACTTGCATTCTCGATAAAACGCACCCTCTTACAGATGCAGCGGCGCCGTTCACTTAAATAAATTTTTCCTTGGCACCCTTTCGACCCAGCTGGTGACAAATAAGATAATCCTTCCTTCAGTTCCACGTTACAATTGTTTCGATTATCACAACCGGCATAAAAGCCCTGGCACAGTTATAATGACCTAACAAGAGTAAATTGCATAAAAAAGAATTCCATATATAAAATTTCATTTGTTCTGATACGATTACATTATAAGAGATCGATAAATGTATTCGTAAATATAGTTTTTGTAAACATGTTTTTAAAACGTGCATATTATTTTATTGCCACGACGCATAATAATGTTGTACGCCTAACATTTTATGAAAAACAGTACATTGAATAAACGATTAGCACTGAATTAGCGGTGTTTAACAAAAGTAAAATCTAAATTAAATAATATATTGTGACCGAAATTTAACAGGTATTCGTAAAAAGCTCGCCTGTCGTTGAATTCATCTGATCACGTTGTCGCACGTAATAGATAATTAAGAGCGCGTGATTTACAACTTGCACAGATTCTGATATCAATATTGACAATAATGTTGAACAGATCTATAAACGCCAGGCTATGTATACATTTTAATCTGGCACGAAAGATAAGAATGCATATTTATGACAAATTCTGTAATGTTACTTTCAGTAAAATGTATTTGTCGATCATTAATCGTTAACGATAAGTGAACGATAATTATTATTTACGGATCCGTTCTGGTTCATTATACAGACGGCGTGAAACATTTATTGTTAGTCGAAATTTTCAGCATTATCATTATAGCGGCATGCTATGTCTGCATGCCGCTCTTAATATATCTTGAATTCTGAATAATCAATGCCACTCTTTTAATTATTATTATCCTTTTATCTACCACATTCCAATGTTTTTTTATCTAATAACATTTATTATATTTACTTCAAATGAAGATTTTAAAGACATTTATTTATATCCTTGCACATGTTTTACCTTCGTCTCATGAATATGTTACAAACAGTATAAAAAAAACATTTTATAGATTACTTTGATAATCATACTTATCATTTTTTAAGGAATTATTTTAAGAACGTAACGTGTTTTCTTGTGTCAAAATTGCCGAATATTACTTTTATCGCCTTTCCCATCACTGTAGTATGACAGTATATTTAAAATGCACAATAAATTCCTCGATCGCAAATTCACTAGTCAAAAGAAATGTGTCAAAATAACTCAATAAGCAATGTCAATCATTTCAATAAATAATATAAATTCAAATAGTGTGATAAATTTTTATATTGTTCTTTGATATTCCTTTTTATGATTTTTTCTCGATACTTTTCGCAAGAATATATCTACTCCAAAATCGTGCGTAAGTTACTCTGAATTAATGGTATATAATTTTATAAACAAAGGAAGAAAATGTATTATGAACAAAATTTTTAGTAAGAATTTGTCAAGACTAATATCTAGTACTAAATTTTGCTTTCAATTTTAGATCTGACTATTTGAAAAAAATATCTGAATTTTGTAAGTCATTTCTAAATAATTCTATTAAACTTTAGGAATAAGTATTTAGAATTAGTGTATCTAAAGTAGATAAAGATTTTCCAAATTTGCTAAATCATTTGAATTTAGGATATTTGTACTAAATTTCCTGGTCATATTTATTAATAAAGATGAGGAAGAAACTATAATTTGTCTCGACAAGATTCTATAAATCGGCAAGGTTGTTTGGAATAGGAACTTTGCACCAATGATCAGGAAAAGTAATATGATATGATAATTAATTCGCGTATATTGCAAAAAATATTTTTCTTTACCTTAGGGATTCCAGAAATTGGCGAAAACATGATCGGGTTTTAATTGGTGGACGAAAAGAAATCGCAGAATAATAATCGTTTTCTGCCCCGAAAGTTTATCATCACCATGAACCTCTCTTGCATTGATTAAAAAAAGAGAGAGGCACGTCGAACACGATTTAATAAAATACAGATTGATTACTGCAAAAGAATACATGATATTGCCAAATTTATCATGAAGTTGACTTTAAAAATAAATTTGACGTACGGCGTGCAAAAGTACGCGCTTTCTTTTTTACGCGTATCATATATTTGTGGAATAAAAAATCAAATAACGATTAAAGCAATTAAAGTAATCAAAATAAATTTGCAAAGCAGCTTGATTTAATTAATAGATTTTTTATCACAGTTGATATTAAATAGTTGGTGCCGTTAACAGAGAGTTGAACCCGACTTTTTATTTTATTCTTTAACAAAAAATATATAATTATATATAATTAAATAAAAAAAATACATAAATATATATAATTATTGCTATATAATTAATTGTATGATTAAATAAATTATTTAATGGTGGAGAAGGAAAAGAAGGAAAAATGAAATGTTCCGTGCTCATCGAAAAACCATTTATTTCATGGAATAAATATTTTTCTATCTATACTGTGTGCCTACCTAGGAAGTACACATTATACATATAAGTATGCATTTTTTTGCCGTCCTCGTTCGCTATTTATTCGGAGCGGGGATATAAGCAAATCCATTATCTTTTTAATTGATACACTGAGACAAACAAACTGAGAATGGGAAGTATAATAGATACGAAGGAGAAAAAGAGTATGACCGGAAGAGAATGGAAAGACAAGGACAGCTGTGACAGAGCGGGGAAGGAAGATGAATTATAAAAGAATCGATTTTTCAAGGAGCTTTCTCTTACGTTCTAAATGATCGCTTTATAAAAATCGCAAAGTTTTCTTTATAAACTCGTGTACGTATGTATATGTTGTACATGTACGTTTTGTGTGTATGTATTTGTGTGTGACTTTTTTCTTTTACAATCACATGAAGTTCAGGGACGGTGCGCGCAAGTCCATCGTATATCGTATACTATTTTACAAAATGTAGCTACAGTGCACTTGACTCGAAGCCGAGGGGAAAACGTGGAGTTTAAAGTGTTAGCTCTGATAGCATGAGAAGTTTCAAGTATGTTCCCGGATTTTGAAGATCGCTATACAACGAGGGATTGAAACCGGTAGAATCTCGACGTGTTCAATTCACGATATTACATAAAGTTCAGAGAAACGTTGAGTCCTTGCTCATTAAACGTTCAATTTTTATCGATTAATTGCGAAGATTTGAATTTATCGAAATTATATTGGTTTCAATCGCTACACATAACTGGAATTGTTCAAGCGTTCGGGGATACGTCTATACATAATTGCAGCACTGATCCTCGCTGTCATCGTGATAATAATTAATAGGGATTATGCCTGAGGATCAGGGACGGATCCTAATGAGTCTATAAAAACTAATAAGAGCGCTTGTCGAGATACTCCTAGAATAATTTTGTCTAAAAACGCTTGTCAATCTTTTTTTTTTAGATTGTACAACGCGTGGAATAAGAAGGGACACATTCCAAAAAAAAGTAGTCGTCCCTTCTCACGACGAGTGCATCATCCGACGCGCTAAAATGCAGCTATTAATACCGTAAGTTACGAAGAAAGCTACGAAAATCAGGCGCGCGTCGCGCATTCGTTCGCGATTAATGTTTATTTATCTAGAAATAAACGCTCGACACTCGTTCTGCGATCGTGACGAATGACAGGAACGTGGATATAAAATTGCCAATTGCCGCGATATAAAAAAGTTTTTCCGAGCGCGATTAGCCGGATATTGGCGCCGTGTAATTACAACTTACTTAGAGCCGCGTATTCGCGTTAGAAAAACTATAAGGAGGGCTGAGGTTCTCCAATACAAGAGTAACATTCTCGTTAGATCCTCCCAGGACGTGGGAGTGTCAGCGAAGCAACACCACATTCTTGCCTGCTACGACTTATTTACATAATTCGACACGTACGCTCTCTCGCACACGCACTCTCACAATTCGCTAAAAAAAAACCGATCATAGTGACAGAAACATTTCTATATATAATATATTGTAGAAAGACGAGGGGGGAGGAGGAGGGAAAAGGAAAAAAAAACCATTAGAAAAAAAACAACGATTTTACTGTACACCGAGATCTGTTGGCCAACACATTTCCACCGATCGTCGACGACCTCTGTTTTAGTGATAACGCGTTTGGTTCAATGTAAAGAAATGGGAGAGACGAGATGCACATTTCGTGAACAGGCACGCGAAATGGTCACATTGTATCCTTCGTGATCTATCTGGTCTCGCGGGGCAATAATAAAAATTTCAACAAAGTTTTGCGCTGCTTGTTGGCTGCATGTTGGAGCTCTGAGAATACAACGCTTGCGTAATGACACTACAAGCGTTATAAATATCCCATTTCTACTACCTCCCTTGACTTAAGGGGAATAAGAAATTCGCGTTCTGCGAAATTCCGAGGGCGTAATCAGGATCGTGTGGATCAAGTGCAAACGTATCGGCGTCTTAAAAATAATACCGTGACTCTAGGAACTATCCGCCTTGCCATGGACCATGGACCACCGTCGAGGTGCCTCCCGCTGACACGGCGCGAGTCCCTCTTTGGACTTCCCTTGGCATCCAGCACAGTCTTCGAGAGGACTCTCTCGCGAATCACCACACACCCGCCTATCAGCGCGCACTTTGCGTCTCTTCCTCCGCGCTCCAAAGAGATCCGCATCGTGCAATCTGCACTCTCCGAACAAGGCACTTTCAGTCTATCGGATGAGGAATCGCCGAGAACACGGCGACGACAATCGACGATGAATGACGAGGACAATGACGATGATCGTCGAGATTGATCCGTGAGAGAGCATCGCGGTAACCGTGCGGAACTCTCGGCGTCGCCCACGTCGATTTCGTCTTGCCAGAAACGGAGGTGGACTATGAGCACCCGCATTTCTCGACGACCATGCCCGGCAACCGCGAGAACACGATTTGGTACTCGTTGTCGAAATACAACATCGTGATTTCGGACAACTTCCTAGGTGCGCAGCATGGCCCGGTGTTGTTCGGCGGTTCCGCCAGGCTGACGATATGCGTGTTCGGATAGGCCGGTAGGAAAGCCATCGGACAGTCACCCGAGCAGTAATTGGCATCGTATCTGCGGCACAAAAGAGCCAGAGAATCGATCGTTAATGCGGATTCCGCTGTCAAATAATACTAATTCACGAAATCAAATTCAGCTCAACTTCACATTCGTTGTATTCCTTAATAAGCGTCGTCGTTAAATATCGCCACGGCAAATTAACTCGAAATGTACACCGCTATTGCATAACAAGAAGTATTTATAGACCGAACGTGAGCGAATAACAGTTTAGTGCTGTTGATGTAGAACTGTTCTACGTGCCAGTAAGAAAGTCGCAGTTCCTTTATTGTAAACCCAGTTTGGTTCAAAATGTTTTCCTTCACCGGAGAAATATTTAGTACGTGCTTGACCGACGGTGCATTAATCATTTTGAGAGGCGCAATGTGTTCTCGCGAAAGTTTACACATTTAAAATATTTTATTAAACAGGCGCGAAATAGATTGCGGCAACATAGCTCATAAGAAGGATTCTTTGTCATTTTTGACATCTACATAAGAGAGACATTTATTTACCGTATATTTATTGCTAAATCGATATTTAATTTTTTAGAGATTTTCATAATAATGAATAGAACTTTAAAAGATATGACTTCTAATTCTATGGCCAACGCTTTTCATGATAAAAAAAAATCTTTGTTAAGAAAAAAGAAAGAGCTGAAAGAATCGTGAACTCACTTTTTAGGTGCGATTATCCAATCCCATCCGAATTTTTCAAAGTCCACCGTGAGCTTGTACCGGCAACATCTGGTCTCCTGACTGGCCTCGTCGCAATTGAGTCCCACGTTCCTCTTGATCCTGGAGCCCCTTCGCGAATCGAGTTCCTGCATCTGCACTTCGAGATACGGGGCGTACTCCGCGCCGGGACTGATCTCAACTAGTCGGTTCCTGCGATGATTGCCGTTAGATCCGGTGATCTTCACAGCTACTCCCAGATTATCCCTCGGATGCTTGAACCACTCCGCCACCATTCGTCTGAGCTCGATTGTGATCCAGCCACCCCGCCGTCCGAACGGCCGAGGGTGTTTCGTGTTCAGAGCTGTACCCAGCACGATCCCACCTGTCTCAGTCCGAACGATCCTGTGCAACGTGATCGTCACCGGACCGGCGTCTTGGTCATTCAAATCAATCGGTTCGCCGAGCTCCGTTTCCTTATTCATGCCCCATATCCACAGAGACAACTCTGCCCTGGTAACACGATGTTGGACGACCTTATCGGAAAACTTGAAATACAGCACGTCCAAACCCTTAAAGTGCCTTAACCTTTGATCTGAAAACAAGTTTAAAAACAAATTTAAAAACAAAAAGTTTACGATATGTCAGTAGAATATAAACTTTGTAACTTATTTAACACACCCAAAAAACCTCGATAAAGAAATCTTCTTTAAAGTTTTTCCCGTAGATTGATTGATTGTGATTGGAATTCGATCTTTATTTTTAATGCATTATTTTAAAATAGCTACAAGTACGATTATTTAATACTGCGTAATAAGTGCATTGGGGCGCGTCAGTAATTATGTCGGAAAATTCCAAATAGGAGATACAGTCGTGGTGCGCTAAATATGTCAGAAACGGCGATAATGTGTCGTTTCTTTTCTGAACAGTCCGCACGTGAACGCGGATTTTTCGTATTTTTTGAAAAAAAAAAAAACGGAGTTCGACCGTTGCGGCTTGCTTGTTGCGTCATTTATTATTCATGAATGAAAAGATTCTCGCTGGTCGATACTGCATGCACGATGTTGCATAGCTCGATAAAGTATCGCTGCGCTGTTTAATGGCTCCGTGGCCACTTGGTGCTATCTACATATAAATACTGGATAGCATGAATGAATAAAAAGTAAAACATAAAATTAAGCAATAATATTTATTACAACGCAACACGTAATTTGTTTGCGGTAAGTTGCATTTTGGATACTGATACAATTTTGCGATCGTATTTATGTGCACTGCAATCTTGCGCGGGCATAAAAATGAGATATTTATTCGTTCTTTCATCCGTTTAAAGTCGCAAAATGTTGCGAGATATTTCTATGTCACAAATACATACTTCGGAATGCATGAAATACTTTAAAATAGTCCAAAATCCAAAGATTTGCACTATGTTATACAAAAGTATGCGGCCTATTTGTGCGTCTGGCCAGATAAAAAAAAATACATCTGCACGCGCGAAAGTATTAAGTATCTAGCATTGATGCCAGAGATGCTGAAGCAGTACATTATGACAGCTTCATTAAAGTCGGTGCGGGGTTATCGGAATATAAAATGAGCATGATAATCATTTATGTATCGAACCGTTCGGAGCAAAGTGGATACAAAGTTGACCGTTTGAAAACACTGCGTTATCTTTTCATTAAACGTGCGATTAACGCAATTATTGGCAATTGGCGATCGATCGATCTAACGTTACAATCTAGCGTTATCGAGCGACGTACGCTGCATCATTGCCACATGCGTGATCCAAGTACGCGCGTCTGGCCGATGCGTGTCCGTTGCGGCGAATAATTATTTCTAATTGACCGATAACAGGGCGTAAGCATCGACGATAAGGCGCGAGCCTTATTAGAGAAACACTGTTTCGAATTGCGGATACAAGCCTAATCGGCCGTCCGCGACTTTCTACGATCGGCCGTATAACGGCACGATGTAACGTCGTTATAAGCGCCTTTGCGCCTTTGATTTAGCCTTTTTATGAATGAAAGAGCCCATGAATTACGCGCAATAATCTCGTATTACATACGGGCACATGTACGTGAGATCGCGGGCCGCGACAGGCGGCTTCTTAAAATAAGTTTATCGGAGAGCAGCTTTTGCGATACTTCCTCCGCGCGCGCGTCGGCCGCGATACTTTCCCGGCCGGATCGTACGAGAAACGCGCGTTTCGCGTACGCCTCTTTTTCTGGCTTACCGGCAGCAATTTAATATGCGTTGTAAAGCGCGTTTCCTTGAAAATTGTAATTTTATTAACGACATGAAATTTCCGATGTTATACGTTATCGGCGTAAGCTCACGGCAGATCGGCGTCACGATTATCCACGCCCCGTTCTTTTTACTCCGACGACGACGGTATCGCGGACACGTCTCCGGTATGTATGTATAGAATCGCCTCGATTCGCAGCGGCGGCAGACTCGCGATGAAATTGCGCATTAATCGTTGTCCGTTGACATGAGGAAGTCAAGGAGTCTTTCGGGTCTTCGGGTCGCTTTCACCGATTGCAAACACTCGCAGATAAAACGGACAAGTGTAAAATAGAATTTTCACAGTTTAATCTCTTGCGATCCTATATTAAAGGTAACACTTTCAGTATTTATGTGTCATCGTCTTCCGCGCTATACGATTAATCTGTAAAAATATCACAATCTTTTGGTAGCTTTCCTAGACTCGTTTAACCTCATACGAAGAGCAATCAAGTAGAAAAAGAAAGAAAGCTGGGGAAAGAGCTAATCTATCTCACTTCGCGAACGGAGTTGCGAAATCTCTGCTTCTTGGTATATTAATTATCGATATCGTTTTACTCGTTTCACTCATTACGGCAACTTCTACAAGATCGAGACGAGCTGGTATCCGCGGGATACCCTGCCTCGGGATCGCGCGGAACAACCGGCAAAACCTTAAAGAAGCACGACGTGGCCGGTTTTCAAAATAAGACGATCCACCGACTTAGAAAATCCTCCTCGCTGGACGGCGAGTTGCCGTGCTCGCAAAAACGCTTCACAAACGCCCGCGCAGCGCACTGCTCGTGGCTGTTCTCGCGATCAGAGAGGTAGGGGGAGGGGATCGGCAATAAATCAGGAAGAGAGCTCGGCGGAGAGTCATGCTCGGATTTCTTGCCGATCGAACGCAACGGCGGCGACGGCGGCGCTCGATCGACGCTCACGCACGTGCGTCCGACATTTACCCTGATGACCGACGTTAAACTCGACCCCGGATCCCCTGCGTTCGCGGAGAGCGACCGACCGCGCGGACAGAACGATCGAGCGATCGATCAGCGACTGGGACACGGATAACGCGCAGGAGAAAAAAAAAGGAGGAAAGAAAAGAGGAGCAGCAGGAGGCAGATTTATATACACGGCAGGGGCCAGGAGACTCTATTCAGGCCATCGCTCGGCAAGACCGCTTCCACGAAGGGTAAAGCCACCTCAAATCGTACCGTTATACGCGAGCAATGTTTTTCACCCGATTCCCCGATCAATCAGCGACTCTCGCCGCGTATCGATATCGACGCCGCAACTTTGTGCGTATCTTTCTAAGCCGGCTGCTCCCGTCCTGGTATTCGACTGGTTCCTCGCGTCGTGCCGCCGCGCCGGTCGCCGTGTAAGAAGTTTTCCATGAAACTTATGAATCTCGGACGACGTTTTCCGAACACGTAACGCCTCACTAGCTGAGAAACACTACAGGTTTTGAATGACGCGAAGGATCGTTTTAGAATTTTTAGATAACCATATCGAGAAAATTTGAGTATTGCCGTGTTTTGGAAAAAATCAATTTTTAAAATTAATGATCAACTGACAATTAATTAATGAATAGTTCTGATTGTCATGCAATAAAAATTGTTACTCGATTATCGTAGCTTAATGCTGAAATTAATTCAGAGTCACCGTTATTATAATATAATTCCCATATAATAAAAGTATCACGTATTTGCTGCCAATTATTAATGGTTTCATATATTTCTTTAAGTCATTATATTCATATTTGTCGTATCTAATTAAATATGTTAAACAGCTGTATTGGTTGCTGCGAGAAAGCCTAGTAGAATGAAAGATCCGTAGAACGTTTATTTACTTATGCCGCGGTAGCAAAGTCCCTCGGCGGTTGGAATGTCGCCGGCGCGGCGTCTCTCATTATACGCGACGCGCGCAGCGAGGAGATGCGGGAAAGTCTACGCGCAGTTATGACTTTCCTCAATTTTGCATGGAAATTCGATGAGATTTGCGTGACATCATCCGGGAACCGTAGAGGTTTATTTTCGTTAACGTTTTATGAGAGCACACCGCGCGACGGACGCCGCGATTAACCTTGCCGAGCGGCTCTCCGTTTTCGAGCACTTGAATAATTCGATTACCATCCCTCCCCCCCCTCCCTCCTCCTCACCCGCTCCCCCTTTTGCCGCGTTCTACCCTCGTCTCGCTTTTATTCACCGTCACTGTCACTGTCACCCGTCAGCTGTCCCGTCCTCCGCAACGGATCGTCTGACGCGCGCCCGCGCGGACTCGCATCTACCCATGTACCCATAGACATCTACCCGTGATGCTACCGTCTACCCGTCACACGCCGTCTACCCGATCTACCCCCGGGGAGTAATTATTATTAATCACGTCAACTTTACGATTACGGACGTGCCCGTCCCGCCGCGCCGCCAAAAACGCGCCCTTCGCGTTTTAAAAGCGGCTGAAAGTTTGGCAAGAGAAAGTTTGACAGTCGAAACGACCTCTCACACGGTTCACGACCAGGAATCGTCGCACACCCTGGGGAAAGAGGACGCGAATATAAATTGACGAATCATTTTATCGGGTCAAAAAATAAGAGCTCTGATGCAGTGCGTGATAATTTACATAATAGGCACTTTCGCAGAAAGCCGATGTGCAGCCGTTTGTCGAGTTGAATTTCTATACGTTCAACTACTTCATAGTCGTTACCTTCAGCGAAATCGAACTAACTAATATTGTTATGGTTATTTATTTTAAAAAAATCTGTGCATAAGAAAATGTGCGAATAATATATTTAAATAAGCAGCGAACAAATTATTATCAAATAGGGTCGCCTCGTCGAAACAGTCTGATCATCCAAAGTGTACGGGAGCACGCGCGGCCGTGTCGCGACGATAGACGATTTGCCGTGTGCATATTTTTAAACGTCGTCGCCGCCCTCACGTACGGCTGTAGCTTGGAGAGAAAGAGAGAAAGAGAGAGAGAGAGAAAGAGAGAACGAAAGAATCGGCCGATAGCGGCGAAAAGTGCATCAGGGGGATGCGTCCCGGGTAGACGAGGAGGGGCACCACGGTCCGGTTGGCGAGAGAGAGGTCGTTCCGTATCACAATTATTTCTTCGCTTTATTTATAGGCAGGGCCACGACACCGCGGTATCATCGTTGTTTTCCATGATTTCCACCCGTTTGAATGGCTCTCTTATTTTCCCGCTTATTCCGACGCGCTTCTACGACGCGGCCAGCCTTCCGTCGACAAAGCGCGATCGCGGTTCCGCATTTAGCGACCATTACGTAGAATGAGAGAAAGAGACTAACAAAGAGAGAGAAATCTCTATGTTATACTG